TGGCTTCTTGTGGCTTCTAGAGTAGCTTTGGACCAAAACTCACCCCATGTTGGAAGGGTATCCAGCTTGATTCCCAGCTCTCAAGATGGGTTTTGGTCATGGTAGATAGAAGAGACATTGATTTGGGCTATTTGACCTCAAATTGGTGGCCCCTCTCTAGTCCTGGGCTTGGCCATTGCTGCTCCTTCATCACTGGTGCTGTTTCATGGGTGATGGGGTCTGGTCTGGCAGGAGCATGGATGGAAGTTGGGCATCACCACATCCCGTGGGTGAGGCAGAGGTTTAGGTCCAGGAGGTCCATGGATGAGGAGGTGAGGAGGAGGTCCATGGATGAGGAGGTCCAGGAGGTCCATGGATGAGGAGGTGAGGAGGAGGTCCAGGAGATCCATGGATGAGGAGGTCCAGGAGGTCCATGGATGAGGAGGTGAGGTGGAGGTCCAGGAGGTCCATGGATGAGGAGGACCCAGAGGTCCATGGATGAGGAGGTGAGGAGGAGGTCCATGGATGAGGTGAGGTGGAGGTCCATGGATGAGGAGGACCAGGAGGTCCATGGATGAGGAGGAGGTCCAGGATGTTCATGGATGAGGAGGTGAGGAGGAGGTCCAGGATGTCCGTGGATGAGGAGGTGAGGAGGAAGACCAGGAGGTCCATGGATAAGGACGTGAGGAGGAGGTCCAGGAGGTCCATGGATGAGAACATGAGGAGGAGGTCCAGGAGGTCCATGGATAAGAAGGTGAGGAGCGAGTCCAGGAGGTCCATGAATGGGCCATTGGGAAATGGAGCCTGGATGCTTCCTGGTGCCCTTTGGCTCCCTAGAGACCAGGCAGGAACATCTGGAGGACACCAACATCAGGTGGAGCCGGGGTGGATCTGCCCAGCTTGGGGAGGAGAGGAGAGGAGAGGAACCCAACCACGGTGTCCATGGGGGGAGCTGTGGGGTGGCTGAGGAAGCCCCAGGGGTGGTGGGACAGGATGGGTTGGTACCACCAAGGTTGGGAGGCCTGGGGCTGCCCATGTCCCCCCGCAGCAGAGGTGTCAAAGGGAGTCCATGGCTGTGGTGTCGGGTTCGGAATGTCGGCACTGGGAGCTGCTGCCTGCCCCATGGTTCATTTCCTTTGGGATCCTCATTTATGGTCAGGTTCGGTTCGTTGTCCTGGTGTTTGTGCCATCTGCATTTGGGATTTTGCTCGTGGTTCAGTTCCTCGTCGTGCTGTTGCTGTTTCATTTCTAATTTTAGTTTCAGTTGATTTCACGTTTTGCATTTGTGTCTTTTTTTAATTTTCATTACCATTTATTTTCATTCTACTTCAATATTTCAATTTTTATTTAAATTAATAAAAAGAGAAATACCTTTCTATTTATTTATATTCATTTTTTCATTTCAGGTTTCCTTGTTATCGCAGTATTATTTTGGTTTTAATTACCTTTTATTTTCATTTTTGCTTTTATTCTGATTTTCATTTTAATTTTTTTATTTCACTTCCATTTTCATTTTCATTTTTCTTTTTTGTTGCTCATTTATTTTTCATTTTTACTTCTAGGTTTTATTGCATTTTCCTTTCCATTTTGATTTTCTTTTTCTTTTCATTTATTTCTATTTTTATTTAGTTTTTCTTTTTCTTTATATTTTTTTTATTCCATGTTTTATTACTTTTTAATTTTTATTTCTATGTTTATTCTATTTTCTGTTCTTTATTTTTAGATTTTTTGTTTTCACTTTGTGTTTTTATCTTCTTTTATATTTATTTAGTTTTCACTTTCATTTTCCTTTATTTCCATTTTATTTCGTTTTTAATCTTTACTCTTTTTGTTTGCTTTCATCCTTTTTGCTTTTATCTTTATTATTTTAGTTTTACTTTCATTTTTTTGTTTGTATTCTGATTTTTTCACGTTTTTGTGTATTTTCATTTTTACTTTTTATCCTTTGATGTCTATTTTATTTAGATTTCCTCTTCATGTAATTTGCATTTATCTCCATTGGGTTTTTATGTTTTCACTTCCCCCCTTCCCATCGTTTTGATCATTGTTGTTCTTTATTTGCACGTGTTTCAGTCCCAGTCTCATTTCTGTTCCCATTTCTGTTCTGTTCCCATCCTGTCGCATTCCATCCCTCCCCGATCCCCGTTTCCCAGTGACCCGGCACATAAACGACCTCCTGGAAAGGACCAATAAGAAGAAGCCCAAATTGAGAAAGAAACCCAAGCCCCAGCTCGAGGAGCTCGAGGGTAGGGACGGCCCCGCGGCGCTGGCACCCCGGTGACACGGGGATGTGCTCATAGGGGGCTGGATGGAGCTGGAGCCCTTGGGGCATGGATGGAGAGGAGATACAGAGATGGAGATGCAGGGACTGATAATGGAGTTCATAAATAGCTATCTGCTATAGAGATATATTGGGGTAGATTAGATACTGTCATTTGTGTTTTCATATTATAGATGATGTTGTGTATTAAGTGTATAATATTATATATCAAGTTTAGAACATTATATATATGTTCTGCGTAACATTATAGATAATGTTATATATGGATATATAATATTACATCATCTATCATATATATTATTGTTATCTATAGTATCTATTATATATGGTATGTATTATATATTATAGTATGCAGTCTATAGTATATATTATATACTAGGTATAGCATACTATAAATCGTATATGTCACGTATTATAAATTATATACTCCATATTATATATTATGCCATAACGTTATATATAATACTTAATATTCTATATCATATATATCACTATATATATGATATAATGAATATATAGAGCATATATGATAACATGTAAAATATTACATCATAATATTTAATATTATATATCATAATGTACTTATCTATATATGATATATAATGTATATGAATATTATATATACAGCATTATGCATTAATATATAATATGATATGTAATGTTTTGTGTAACACCATATTTATGTTTTCTACGTAATGTTATATAAAACCACATAATCTTATATATAATGCTATTAATTTAATATACAAGATCAGATTTAATATGAATACCCCCATTTTTACTAGAAAATATCATAAGTATAATCATTTAATATAGAAGATGATAAAAAATGTCAGATATATATCAAACACCCTATATAATCTTTTTATAAACACAGTTTTATCATATTTTATTAGTATATCTAATGTAGGATAGGATATTAGAAACAGGAGTAATTAAATAATACATAATATTTTGGTTTTATATGATGTTATGTATAATAGTATGTAGGCAAATTAGCATAATTAATATCACTAATATGAATTACAGGTTTGTATTAAATAATTTTATAGATAAATCTATATGGGTAGATAGAACATAATTCATATGTAATATTATTAATGTAATAGCAATAATATTAACTAATAACTGATAATTAATAAGTAATTAAGAAGAGGGGAAAGTAGGGACTTCATTAAGTAGAGACATGTAGAAGGTGCTGTCAGGTTTACTCAGTGATGGATGGATGGATGGATGGATGGATGGATGGATGGATGGATGGATGGATAATGGATGGATGATGGATGGATGGATGGATGGATGGATGGATGATGGATGGATGGATGGATGGGTGGGTGGGTGAATGGATGGATGGATGGATGGATGGATGGATGGATGATGGATGGATGGATGATGGATGGATGGATGGATGGATGGATGGATGGATGGATGATGGATGGATGATGGATGGATGGATGGATGGATGATGGATGGATGGGTGGGTGGGTGATGATGGATGATGGGATGGATGGATGGATGATGGATGGATGGATGGATGATGGGTGGGTGGGTGAGTGTGTGGATGGGTGGGTGATGGATGGATGGATGGATGGATGGATGGATGGATGGATGATGGATGGGTGGGTGGGTGAATGGATGGATGGATGGATGGATGGATGGATGGATGGATGATGGATGGATGGGTGGGTGGGTGGGTGAATGGATGGATGGATGGATGGCTGGCTGCCTGGCTGATAGATGGATGATCATGGATGGGTACCACTATCCCTGGTGCCAAAGTCATCACTGGTGGGGGTGATCTGGCATCCCTCTGGGTTCTGGGGGGATGCCAGGTCCCCAGATCAGGATGTTGGTGAACACTCAGCATCCAGGTGACACCAAAAGGTTCCTGGTGCAGGATGAGGGGCCTCAACCTGGAGCCACACCAGTGGTGGGACCTGGAACCTGTGGGTGGAGGCACCTGAGAAACAGCTTTAATGGCCACCATGAATTAAGATTGTGTTCAGTATCTCCATCAATGGGGTAGATGGTGGGGTCTAGTGCACCCTCAGCACCTTTGGAGATGCCACCAAGCCTAGTGATGGGGTTGACCCACCTGAGGGACCTGTGTGAACCTCATGAGGTTCAATAATGGAGCAACAGCCTGGTTCGGTGGAAGATGTCCATGCTCATGGAATGGTGGTGGACCTAGATGGTCCCTTCCAACCCAAACCATTCCATGAATGGGCACCAGATTTGTGGTCACCAGGTCCTGGACATCCCCCAGGCTCCCTCTTTTGGGGTGGCTTCAGATCCCCCCACATCTCCATCGTCTCCTCAAGGGCATTTACAGTTCCAAAAACCCATAGGAGGAACCCTTTGAAGACAACAGCACTGGGGATGGAAGGAAAAGGGATGATCCCAAGTCTGGTTTTAACCAAAAAGCACCATCAGGGGCCACCAGGAGCTGCCAACCACCAGGAGCCCTTTTCCCCCTCTTTTGCACCAATGTTTAGTAGGAAGAGCACATTTTAAGCTCCTGGCCCATCCTCACCAACATTTGGGGTCATCCAGAAGGTACCACCAGGTCCCCAGGGCTCTTGGCTATGGGCTGCAGGAGCATCTTACATTGGGACGAGCCCATTGGGATGCTCCAAGGGTTGAGGGTTGTTGAAGGGCATCATGAGGAGGGGATGGGTGGTGTGGAGGGGGATGAGGGTGGAAGCAGTGGCATCAGGAGGAGAAGGGGTGGCAAATTCATCCCTGGAAACCCCAGTATCCCAGCTGAGGCCACCACAGTGAGTGGGGATGGGGATGGAGCTGAGGGGTCTCCATGGTTGGTGGGTACAAGGACACGAGGTTCTTGGGGAGCAGGTTGAGTTTTGGGGACCCCTCATCCTCCTCACCCCCCCCCTCCCCTTGAGGAGCAGTGATGGGGACAGGGATGGATCTGCCCCACATCCCATGGGGACGCTGGCACCATCCTGGAGCTGGGATGGGTGTCACCTCCCCAAGCCCCCCCACCATGGGCCTCCATGACCTGGAGGTGACGCCTCAACCTCTCTCTTCTCTCTTGCAGGGGTGGCAATAAGCACTTATGCCAAGTACTGCTACAACAAGCTGCAGAAGGCAGCTCTGACGGGCGCCAAGAAGGTATCACCCAACTGCTGGCCCCCCATTGGGACCACTGGTGGGGTTTGGGGAGGAGGAGGAGGAGGGATGAAGCTGGAGAGCAATGGGAATGATGCAGCAGCCGGTGCTGGACCTGGGGTACCTCCAGCGTGGTTCACCCATCAGCGCATCTTCTCTGAGGAACGTCTGGGGTTCTCCTTGGGGTCTCCCAGGTCCTTCCATAGACCAAGGGATTGAATAGGGATTGGGGACATGATCCTGGGAGCTGAGGATTGAGAGGATGCTCCAGCAGCTCCCAGCTCACCATGGACCTCACCAATCAGGGCCATCCCCATGGCCCATCGCTGCCATCAGGGCAGTGCTTGAGTCCTTTAGGAGTAGACCCTAAATAGGGATGAATTTAGAGCTTGGGGTTCTCCTCCCGGTCCCATCAGCCTCAGTTTCCCCATCCTCGTTTGATGGGGATGGAGAAGGGATGGTGGGCTCCCACCTTGGTCCTCATGGTGACATCTGCCCAGACAAGGCCTGGTGGAGGGAGGGGATGTGGCATCCATTGGGATCACTGTGGGCTCGGTGCTGGATGTGTCCTGCTGAGCTTTGGAGGCAAAGACAGGGGTGGAGGACCTGGAGGTGAAGCCCAAGCTCCGGTGGCTTCTTCTGTTGGTGGCTCTGTCTGGAGAGGAGACGCTTGGGCAGATGCAGCTGATGGGGAACTGCGTCCATCTCCTCTGCATCCCACCCCAAACACATCCATCCCTTTCCATCCCACCACACACATCTCCATCCACCTCCTCTTCCACATCCCACCATGCACATGGCTGCTGTGTCCATCCCGTCTGCATCCCACCCTGTCCACATCCATTGCATCTGTCTCTCTCCATCCCATCACACACCTGCCTGCTCCATCCATCTCCCCTTGTGAATCCCACCCCACACATGACTTCTGTGTTCATCCCATCGGCATCCCACCATGTCCACATCCATTGCATCCATCTCTTCTGCATCCCACCATGTCCACATCCCTCACATCCATCTCTTTTGCATCCCCCCATGTCCACATCCATTGCATCCATCTCTTCTACATCCCATGTCCACATCCATCGCATCCATCTCTTCTGTATCCCACCCTGTCCACATCCATAGCATCCATCTCTTCTGCATCCCACCCTGTTCACATCCATCGCATCCATCTCTTCTGCATCCCACCATGTCCACATCCATCACATCCATCTCTTCTGCATCCCACCATGTCCACATCCATCACATCCATCTCTTCTGCATCCCACCATGTCCACATCCATCACATCCATCTCTTCTGCATCCCACCATGTCCACATCCATCACATCCATCTCTTCTGCATCCCACCATGCCCACATCCATTGCATCCATCTCTTCTGCATCCCACCATGTCCACATCCATCTCTTCTGCATTCCACCATGTCCACATCCATCTCTTCTGCATCCCACCATGTCCACATCCATCACATCCATCTCTTCTGCATCCCACCATGTCCACATCCATTGCATCCATCTCTTCTGCATCCCACCATGTCCACATCCATTGCATCCATCTCTTCTGCATCCCACCATGCCCACATCCATTGCACCCATCTCTTCTTCATCCCATGTCCACATCCATTGCATCCATCTTTTCTGCATTCCACCATGCCCACATCCATTGCATCCATCTCTTCTGCATCCCACCATCTCCACATCCATTGCATCCATCTCTTCTGCATCCCACCATGTCCACATCCATTGCATCCATCTCTTCTGCATCCCACCATGCCCACATCCATTGCACCCATCTCTTCTTCATCCCATGTCCACATCCATTGCATCCATCTTTTCTGCATTCCACCATGCCCACATCCATTGCATCCATCTCTTCTGCATCCCACCATCTCCACATCCATTGCATCCATCTCTTCTGCATCCCACCATGTCCACATCCATTGCATCCATCTCTTCTGCATCCCACCATGCCCACATCCATTGCACCCATCTCTTCTTCATCCCATGTCCACATCCATTGCATCCATCTTTTCTGCATTCCACCATGCCCACATCCATTGCATCCATCTCTTCTGCATCCCACCATCTCCACATCCATTGCATCCATCTCTTCTGCATCCCACCATGTCCACATCCATTGCATCCATCTCTTCTGCATCCCACCATGCCCACATCCATTGCACCCATCTCTTCTTCATCCCATGTCCACATCCATTGCATCCATCTTTTCTGCATTCCACCATGCCCACATCCATTGCATCCATCTCTTCTGCATCCCACCATCTCCACATCCATCGCATCCATCTCTTCTGCATCCCACCATGACCACATCCATTGCATCCATCTCTTCTGCATCCCACCATGACCACATCCATTGCATCCATCTCTTCTGCCTCCACCCACTGCATCCATCTCTGCATCCCACCACACCTGCTTCTCCTGGGGCCCGCTTCACTTTCCAACCCAGACAATGGCTGAAGGCACCAGCCCGGTGCCTGCCTTTCAGCTCTGAGCCGCTGGGCATTGGACACCTTGCCCAGCTTGACCAGACCTCACCATTGCTCCATCCCCTGTCCCCATCCCACAGCGAGCTCAGGACCGTGGGGACCCACGTTCCCCAGCCCAGCCCTGGGAACTCCATCCCCTGGCTCCTTGGTGACGCCCCCATTGTCCCCTTGCAGGGCCTGAAGAAGCCCAACATCGAGGAGATTCGCCACGCCAAGAACGCCGTCTTCAACCCCTCCATGTTCGGCAGCTCCCTGCAGGACATCATCGCCATGCAGAAGGAGAAGTACCCGGAGCGGCAGCTGCCCTGGGTGCAGACGCGCCTCTCCGAGGAGGTCCTGGCCCTCAATGGTGACCAGACCGAGGGCATCTTCAGGTAGAGGCACCGGCGCCGGCCGGGGCTCACCACTGCATGGGGGCAGCCCATAATGGGTCATCCTATGGGGCAGCCGATGTGTTTCTCATCCCCATTCATCTACAGCTGCAGGAGACCCCCAGCTTGGTGACCTTCTGATGGGGGAAGCCCATAACAAGGCATCCTATGGGGCAGCCACATCATGCCCCACATCCCCATTCACATGGGGTTGCTGGAGACCCCTTTCATGGTCACCTTATGGGGGAAGTCCATAACAAGTCATCTCATGGG